TACTCTGCTTCTGCCGTGCTCAGTGCCACGCTCTGCTGCATCTTCGACTTGAAAATCACAGGTGCGCCATTAATAATGATAAAAACTCCCGAAATCGATCTGCGATTCCACTTGTTACTTGCCCAGTCTGCATCGGTGTACGCGCTCAGCTGAAGATTGCCTGAAACTCCTTCATAACAAATTCCTTTGCTCTGCGTCGTCTTCAGATATCGCAACACTCGAATCGCTGCATTCCAGTGCTCTTCATGTGGAAATTCCAAATGACGACTCAGCTGACATATTGTATACGCAATATCTGGTCGTGTGCCTGTTGCCACATACAACAACGACCCCACTAACGATCGATACGGTCAATTCTTCATTCTTGTGTCAGCTTTGTCCATCTTGACCATCGCTTGCCCTTCAACACTTGGATTTGACACTGCTTTCGCATCAACTTGATTAAATTTCTCGACCATTCTTGATATACACGATCCTTGACTGATCTTCAGACGTCGATTGTTGCGCAGGTACTTGACTTCGATTCCAAGAACGTATCGAACACCCCCTAGTATCTTCAACTGGAAACGACTTGATAGTTGAGCTGCCACATCTTCCATCACTCCAGTAGATTCAGCCCCAATTAGAAGGTCGTCCACATATAATGCAGCGTAAATCCACGAGCCCTTGGTCTCTTTGACGAAAATGCATGAGTCTGCCACGCATGAAGAGAACCCCATCTCCACAAACACACACGAAATTGTCTTGTACCATGTAGCGGCCGCTTGTTTCAGCCCATACAGACTGCGATTCAGCTTAAGCACTTGATTATGTTCTGCACGAACACCCAGAGGAGGGTATACGTATACCTCTTCTTCCAAAACGCCATACAGAAAAGCAGTGTCGACATCATATTGATGAATCAACATCCCCTTTTGACAGCACACCGCCAAAAACACCCGTATTGAGTTGAGGTTTGCCACAGGTGAATATGTCTCCATGTAGTCAACTCCATACGTCTGCCTGTAGCCAAGTGCTACAAGACGTGCCTTGTATCGAATAATCTCACTCAGCTCGTTTCGTTTGAGTGCGAACACCCACTTGGTTCCAATCACTTTCTGGTTTGGACGCTGTGTTTGAACAGTCCAGGTGTCCTTTTCCTCTAATGCCTTGAGCTCAGCTTGAATGGCCTTGTACCAATTATCACGACGAGGTGACTTAAGAGCTTCTTCGTATGTCGTTGGGGTCTCGAACGCTGCACATGCTTGCTCATACCCAATACGTAGTCTCTTTGTGCCTTTTTCTTGACACACTTCTGAGCCGTCATAAAAGTCCTCATCAGCACCATTCACTGGTATTAACGCTTGAGATTGTCCATGTTGAACCGATTCTAGTGGAACCATCGCGGTTTCTTGCGATGCTTGAATACTTGTCTGTCGACTTGGTCGTATCACCATCTGTCCTTGTCTTGACACGTCTTCAGCCGATTCTTGATCTTCTTCAATCATCGTCACATCATCAATTTCAAACATTGGATCGTCAGCATTGGAACCCACGTGTTCAGGCATCTGGCTAGTGCATATTGATGGTAGAGCCATCGTTGTTGTACGCCTGTCTTGCATGTGACTCTCTTCTTGAACACTGTGACTGTCCTCCATTGCTATGTCCATGTCTTTCGTGACTCGTGGCTGTTCTAAATCGATAGAAACAGTGTCTTCGTCATGAACAGCGCGAAACTCTTGGTCACTTGATCTGCTGTAACGTTGCACGTACTGAAGTGGTGGTCTCTCATCGAATTTAGCCGATCTCGTGTGCGTCACCCTCTTGGCATCTTCATCCCATATTCGAAGCCCCTTGATTTGATCCGAGTAACCTAGAAAAATACATCGAATCGCCTTCTTGGTCATCTTGGTCCTGTTCGACTTGTCGACATGTGCATATCCCTTTGATCCAAATACACACATCTCGGAGAGGTCAGGCTTCTTCCCGAAGATGAACTCAAATGGAGTTTTAGTCGGGTGACTAGCACATGGAACTCGGTTTGTCACATAGACTGCCGTGTTCATCGCCTCAGCCCACCAAATTTTATCCACTTGCATATGGCTGAGCATTGCTCTGGCCCGCTCTGTCAGTGTCCTGTTCATGCGTTCGGCCAGCCCATTCTGTTGTGGCGAATAGGGTACCGTCGTCTGATGCATGATACCAGATTTTCGACATACACCGGAGAAACGTCTGTTGACGTATTCCGTCCCGTTGTCCGTCCTGATACACTTGATCTTCTTGGACTGTTGATTCTCCATAAGTGCCTTATACTCTATAAAGCGATCCGTCACTTCCGACTTGTTCTCAATATAGTATGCGACTATATATCTCGAATAATCATCAATAAAAGTCACGACAAATCTTGATCCTCCTCGAGACTTCGATTCCATAGGTCCCATGACATCACTGTGGACCAACTGCAACACCTCCTTGGTTTTCACGTGTCCGTATGGTGACTTCGGAAACGTCTTGACGGTTGCTTTACCCATGATGCACCCTTCGCAGATCTCGATATCATCTTCAACGCCTTGATTCTTCTTGATCTTTAATCCATTGACGCAACCTGCCATACCCTTGAGCATCTTCGTTGACAGGTGACCTAATCTTGCATGCCACACTTGTAGATCAGCCGCTCCTGATCCGTCACTTGATTCTTGCTCTTGAGATGTCTCTCCGCAAACGTTGGCTACCTCAGCCGGACTGCACTCTAAGACGTACATCTTGTTTCGTCTTGGTATTTGGGCAACGACTTCCGTGTTACTTCTGATCTGACAGCTCAGATCTGAGAAGATCACTTGTAGACCCCTCTTTGACAATGCCGATATTGACAGTAGCCTTCGGTCTAGGCCCGGCACCCATAGCGTTTCTTCGATCCTGATCACTTCACCAGTCTTGAGTTGCACGCGCACTGTCCCAACACCTTGCGCTTCCACTTCGCTGCCGTCTGCTATGGTGATCATGATCGGGTCCGTCAGTGAGTTTAAATTCGAAAACTCATTTCTGTCGGGACACATGTGGCTGCTTGCCCCACTGTCCAATAACCATCCAGCTGACGTCCGACTTGACGCAGTAAATGCTCTCTCTTCTCCAGATCGCTCTGTCTCCACTTGTTCAGCCTTGCAATCTTGACGCTTGTGCCCATATTTGTTACATCGGTAACACCTTCCCGAAAACTTTTCACCTCTTGAACTTGATCTCCCCATATGTCTGCGCGGACCTTTCTTGTACTTGGAAGTGTGCGTACTTTTCAGTGCGATTTCTTGGTGTTCTGTCCTCGCCATTCCATCGTACTCCCGTCTCAGCATTTCCTTAGCGTGAAACAGTGTCATTCCGGGCATGTTCTCAATTATCTTGACGATAGGGTCATAGTCTCTCGTTAGACTACCCAATAGGATGACCAAATGCTCATCCTGTGAGATCTCTTGTCCCACAGCTTGCATAGTCATGCACAGCTCGTCAAATCTCAGGAAGTGATCCATGATGCTTCCTCCCTTGGCCAACTTGAACTCATGTAGTTGCCGCCGCAACTGCACACGATTGTGCATACTTTGCCGCAGGAAGAAAGTCTTCAGTATGTCCCATGCTTCTGCCGTTGTCTCTGCCGTGCGCACCATTGACTGAAGATTTGTGCTGATCATTGTGGACACAATCGCGAAGGCCTTCATGTCGTTGACTTTCCAAGTTGACGCGCTTGCGTCTCCTTCTTCTGGGACCTTCATAGCGTCTAGGTGCTCTAGCAATCCCTTCTTTGCCAGCCTCATCCTTGCGTTGAACTCCCACACGAAGTAGTTATCTTCGCGGAGTATGTCGCCCGCATCCGGCGTAGTTGGGCTCATAACCTTTTGACTTTTGGCAACAGCCAAGAGCGAGTTGAGGTGGGAGAGCTTAGAAGAAGGTAAAATGGAAAGTGAATTATCATCTAGCTAGGTCCTTAGTTCGTCTCGTTGTACTACTCTAAGCCTATCGATATCGACTCTATAATATTAGTAACAAAACGATGAGTCGATCCCATCGTTACACACTATCACACAGTGTCGTCCATGACATATGGTCATTAGTATCAGTAACCAACACCATTACCAATACTTCACATAAATGAGCGCTTATTTGAGCGGCTAATGTAACGGGGTAGCCCGTTACATGAAATTGACATCAAACGGTGTCAAGAGATATATTGACTAGCATGACATTATCCTACCGATATTATCCGAGTGGGTAATATTGAAGGACTATGATCCCCTTTTTAATAATATTCATGCGCTGCTCCAAGATTGGTTGATGTAAGACATATCAACCATAGATTGCCGCCAACCGCTGCTAGACGCTCGCGATGAGTGGTGAGCAGGCTTTCGTCATACGACGACGTAGTTTAATATCTTTACATAAAGATTAAAGTAATATTGAAAGCTTAACGATACTGAATAAATTTCTCTTATTACCTTCACTTGACCGAGTCGTTCAAGTAGATAAGCTTCCTCTGCACGTACTAGTGTACGTGAAGTTTCGTGGCGGCTAGAAAAAGGGTGCCCCGTTACACCTGGTAGCACTTCGTAGTCCGTCCAACGACTACTTAGTGTCCGTCCAACATGAACATGTTGGACATAGAAGACGACAGCTTTCACGTCACACGTGAAGGTTACTCCCATCTGAGTGAATCAGAATGGGAGATAGTCGGCCGCATAAGTGTGCTCATGGGCGAACCCGCCATTAATGGTATGTTGGAGTCTCTAAGAAGATGCCAGCAACAGGCTGCTATCAACAAGTTCCTACAAGGGGAACTTGCCGTCGAACGACAGAAGATAGACTTGCTACAACAGCAAGGCTTTCATCAGTCGATGGGCTGGCTGATGCACATGCGTCGACCCGAAACCTTGAAGATTGATACCTCAAGGTACAAGCTAATTGATGAAGATTCCCTTTTGAGATGATTCGTCGAGTTAGACGATGCCATCAGGGCCTGTCACATCGAGGTTGACGAGATGCAAGTCACCTTCATCCTGTACAATTTGACGAAACGAGCAAAGCCTTGGGCCTCAGGGCTCAACCTTCACGACCAAAACGTGTTTGAGTCGTTAGAGATCTTGAAGTCTCTACTTAAAGAGACGTTTGAGCCGCCGAGATCCGAGTTCAGAGCACGCTCTGCACTCTTGAGGCTCAAGCAAGGTAGACGGGACGTGCACGCTTACGCACAACACCTACGCTACCTTGCGAGTAGCGTCACGGAAAATCCTGTTGATGAGCACACGCTTGTCAACGTGTTCATCTACGGCCTTGTGGATGGGCCGGTGAAGACCTACATGTTGCAAGAGGACTTCCATACGCTGGAACAGGCGATAGCGTATGCGGAACAAGAAGACTTCAGCCTGAGACAGTCTCAGGCTAACTCGTCAAACTATTGTCCGACGCAACGACAGAAAACAGGAGGTCCCTATCCAATGGACCTCTGTTGTATCGAGAGCGAGAACACTCGCCCTCTGAGTCACAAGCGAACGGCAAGATGCCTGTTGTTTGTTCAATAGATGGCCATCTGATGAACGTCTTGGAGCGTCCACAAGCGTTTGGGTGTACTACGAGTGAGTGCGATAACCTCACTTGTGGTAAGGTCGTGAGTACGATTGCACAAGATCACAGTGTAGAAGACCACTGCACTGTGGAACCAGCTCCCGGCAACTGTGTACATACACAGGCTGCGCCGAAGGTTCACCACTCGAAGAGATCGAGTGGGCTGGAACACGGATGCACACCAAGAAGGGTGCATCCGAGAAGAGAGATCAGAGTTGTTCAGGATGAACAACACGTTGAATCGAGATCGACTATCAGAAAGTCGATCGTAGAGCAAGCCCGATTGACTGAAAGAGAGTCGATCGAAGAGGACGTGACCGTGGTAGTACACCCATAGTCAGTACACGTAATGGAAGAAAGTTCCAGCGTTCCTGAGAGTGATAACTCCCGAGAGAGTTATGTTGAGGGTGTGGATCCCCAACCACCTGCGGATGTGTTTTCCCAGGAAATCACCGAGACAGTGAATGTCTTGGTGAATGACGGATCAAGTGTAGGCGCTTATACGCTTGATCTGGTGACGCCCCCGAAGTCAGCTTCGGAGGTGGTCAAGTTGCCAACGCTAGAATCTAAAAGATTCTTGCGAGATCTGCGCAGTGACAAGATCAAGCAGATCTGCGTACTCGTCACAGAGGACGAGTACGTCGCCGATATTCGGTCGGCACAAGTGTTTGCTGAGAACGAACGGGTTTTCAGTAGCTCATCGATGGACAAGAGTGTCCTCGATGAGAAGACCCGGATTGAGCGATACACGTCTCAATCTTGGGAGTCTCTAAAGACAAATCCTTTGTATAAGGATTTGGTGGAATTCAGGGATGTTTTCCCGGAATCCGTGCCATGCGAGCTGTCCAAAGACAAAGGCACCCGGCATGAGATCAAGCTGAAACCTGGTTCAAAATACTGTGCCATGAAGCAATGGCCACTGCCTCATGAACAGGTAACAGCGATCGACAATTTCTTTGCCGATCGATTAGCGGCTGGTCATGTGAGGGAATCAACATCCCCACACAGCTCTCCGACCTTCTGTGTGCGAAATTCCACAGGAAGGTGGTAGATAGTGCACGCGTTCAATAAATTGAATGCTGCAACGGTACTATCGGCTCAGACTCCGATACCAAGGAAGGATGTACTCATAGATGGTATGGCAAAGAGTATCATCTTCTTGTCCATGGATATGATGGATGGATTCTATCAGATCCCCCTGCGTGAACGGGATATCCCTTACACGGCAGTAAGCACCCCCAGTGGTATGCTCTGGGAGTAGCTATTGATTCCACAGGGGCTAAGTAACGCCCCCGCAACGTTTAACATAAGTGTAATGTATCTGTTGCGATTGGTTCGAGACTTCGCACCGAATTACTCTGACGATATCTTCATCCATAGCCGGGCAATGGATTAAAAGAAGGACGTGGAGGTTCATAGAATCCGTGTCCGGAATGTTCTTACGCTAATGCGAGAGCATAAGTTGTTCGCGAACCTCTAGAAGTGCATATTCGCAGCGAACGAAATACCACTTCTTGGCTGCATCGTGGGTAAAAACGGTGTACGCCCTGATCCGGAAACGATCGAGGCGATTAGCGACTGGCCTGTGCCAGTTGACGTCAAGGGAATTCGAATGTTCCTTGTCTTGGCGGCGTACTTGCACAATTACTCGCGCAACTACGCCGAGATGACCGTACATCTCTCTCGTCTACTAAAGTAAAACGAGAGGTGGTCATGGAGCGCTGAGCGTCAGCACTCTTTTGAAGGTATCAAGAAAAGCTTGATACAATCGCCTGTGTTGGCGATTGCAGACCAGGACAGACCATTCCATGTGGTCTGCGACGCCAGCGATTTTGCAATCGGCTGCGCGTTAATGTAGTACGAATCAGATGGCGTTGAGCGCGTCATCTGTTATCAATCGCGTCAGCTGCAAGCAGCTGAGCGAAATTACCCGGTGCATGAAAAGGAACTCCTTGCCATGAAATATGCACTGGCTAAGTTTCGGGTATATCTATTAGGAGATAGGCCCTTCATCGTTTATACCGACCATGCGTCGTTACGCACGGCCGTAAACAGTCCACAACTCCCGCAACGAGTGGCGAGACGGCTGTCTTTCTTCGCGGAGTACAACTTCTCCGTCGAGTATAAACCAGGACGACTTAATGCTGTCACTGATGCTCTTTCGCTTCGGCCCGATTTCGAGCCGACTGCTCAACACAACAGTTGGGGTGATCACACTGTAGCAAAACTAACAGCGATTGTTCCGTCGTCGAATCTTCTCGACGACGTGCGAAAGCATACGCAGAAGGTGAGTCTCTTCCGCGGTTGATAATTTACGTTTCCAATCCATGCAGTCAAGCTTTGAAAAGCTTGCCGTCCCAATACCGCTCTTCAGCCGAACGGTATTCTGTTCGTGATGGACTGCTGTACTATACAGCAGTCAACTGCGACACACCTCGTGTCGTCGTTCCCGCTGATAATGTTTGAGATTGCGCATATTGTATGAGTGTCACGATGCCCCAACAAGCGGGCACCGCGGTAGAGAAAAGAATTACCTCACGGTGAGTCGTGACTTCTACTGGCCACGCTAATTTGACTTTGTGCGCAAATACATTCGCGCTTGCGAAGTTTGTCAACGGGTGAAGCCTAGTCCTTCATCCCACGCACCCTTGCAGCCTCTTCCGATTCAGGCAGAGTGTTGGCAGTCCGTATCGATGGACTTTGTCTTCGGGTTTCCCAAAGACGTTCACAAGAATACTGGTATTCTTTTGTTTGTTGATCTGTTCAGCAAGATGGTACATCTTGTTGCTGTACCGGAGTCGATCACATCCCAGGGCTGTGCTCGTGTCTTCATCAATGATATCCTCCGACTTCACGGGTTACCCTGTGAACTCGTGTCTGATAGATACCCCCGCTTCACAGTGGAGATCTGGCAATCCGTGTTCCGTTCACTTGGAACACGTTTGACGATGTCAACTTCTGAACACCCCGAAACAGATGGTCAGACGGAACGCGTCAACCGCGCCCTCGAAGAGATGATTCGAGGGTGCGTCCACTCGTTTACGAGTTGGAGTGAGTTCTTGCCGATGGCGGAATATTCCATCAACAACTCGGTGCACACGTCGATAATGCACACACCGTTCTTCGTGAATGGCCTACGCCATCCACGTTTATTCACCTTCTTATAATGTGACTCTAGTTTCAGGGGGGGCGGACTCGCTCGAACAAAAACCGATCTGGTTCTTGCCCATCACCCGTCGACAATAGTGTCGACGTGATGGATGCAGACGTCGATCACATCGACATCGATGATGATGATGAAGACGATGCTGGTGTATTCAGCATCGCCAAAGACTGCCACAGTGAGGACGATGACACCCTCACTGGTGAAGACAACGTGCTTTCAGCAGTGCACACAAAGCGCACTGCTGTTGACAAGGATGAATCAGCAGAGGCATTTCTGCTGACTCGCGAAGCGGTTGTCCTCTTCGTTCAATACTCTATTGTAGATGCACTAGACAGGCAGAAAAGAAACGCAGACAAACATGGAAGAGCAAATGTTCTTTCGTTTGATGAAGGAGACCTGATTTTACTGTATGCAGTAAACCCACCAAAACACGCAGTGACAAACGTGGGCAGCAGTAAAGTACTGCCCAAGTACATCGGTCCATTTCGTGTTTTGCGCCGAATGGACAACGCATACACGAATGAACTTCCCCGTAAGATGCGTGCGCATCCTATGTTTTACGTCGGTCGTCTCCGCCCGTACTATCAGTACGAGCCCGTTTCGAGATGCGAAGAACACCTCCGCGTTCGAGAGCCGAGACCACCTTCGGGTGGTCCCGTTTTAACGATCCAGTCTGTTCGACTAGCGAAGCAAACTGTTCACGTAGCTGAGCGATGTCTCGACGAGCTGCGGCCAGCTTGTCACGAAGAGAACGAGTTGAACGTTCGTTCTCAAGTTACGCGAACGCAAACGCGGCACGATCGATCGTGCGTTAAGGAATTGTAGTATCCCTTACAAGATCATGGATCTCATAACGTTGAGTCCGTTCATGAGCCAGGTCATCTTGCAACTGTTCCGTTACACAGTTCAGCTCCTGAACATCAAGCTTATCCGACCCTCGATCCGGATCAGGTGTTCCCGTTACCACCACATCCTTTGGTGGACTCAAGCGGTGGTCAACGCTTCCTAATGGAGCGTATTTTGAACCACCCTATGTGAATGGCGTCCGGACGAGTTATCTCGTTTGCTGGCGTGGTTATCCACCGGCGTGGGACAGCTGGGAGCCTCGTGCCCAGCTGATTGTTGATGTCCTTGGTCTCGTCGAGCAGTACGACGAGACCCACCCGCTGCGTTTGAAGAAGGGCCGTCAGAAAACGACCTCCCCGAACGCGAGTACAGGGATTACAAAGTGTCGATCCCTTCGGCCATCTAGGAAGAGATGCGCGCCCTCCAGTAGAGATCATTAGGGAGTTAGGCCTACTAGGGGCATGGTTCGAGTTTCCAGGCAACCTGGAAACGAATCACCCCACGAGAGACAGGTTAATCCTGCCTCTCTTGAAAGCCGGTGCATTTTGTATCGCGCCCCGACTGGGTTGCGTTTCTCAAACCTGATGTGAGCGGCATCAAGTTTGGCGATCTAGGCCTCACGACCAATGCACTCGATATTATGGATGAGGACATTCCATCCTTGCATCAAGGCCTTACCGTCCCGAACACGGCTACCATTGTACCACCGATGTTTGAAAAACGCATCGGTGAAGAATTCTTCCTCAGCACGGATAGTTTCCGTGCTGGAATCAGGCGGGAAAATCTTCCTGCAATCGAACAGCAGAATTCGGTCTTGTTCAATAAATATGCCGGCCAACCGGTCCAACTCCTTGGATGATGCATCCAAGGTTACTCCACTTGGGGAGCGTGGCGCAGGGCATTACGGTCCCTGGCCTCTCAATTGGTGTCAGCATGAGCACTGACACCAGTGATACCCCGGTCCCTCGAGTTACTTCGCTCGTGGTGATATAGAGGTGCATCACCACCATCACCACGCGTACTATCGTTGGATGGAATTGCTTGAGGCGGAGATTCGTCGGAATAATCGCTCGATCCGAAGATCTCGGACATGATACCGCCACGTTGACCAGAGCCAGTCAACCTGGATATTGCAGTGTCCGCCCCGGGTGATCCGGAGGCGTGAGATGTCGCCTTCGAGTCGGATACATCATCCGACTGACCAGAATAGATGAGCTCTATTTCAGACTCATCCAGATTACGATTCGTGGTACCCGCTGCAGACGCAGCGGATGTGCCTGTCACACGTGGTGACTCACCACGTGGACTGTTCACAGCAGCAGGCGACTAATCACCTGCTGCTAAGGTGTGGGAAGTACTCTCTCCGGCTACAAGCATGCGTGCAGCCGCCTTTCTTGCTGCTGCAGTAGCAACTCGCTTGGGTTTTGAAACCATGCGTTGGATTGGCAAATGAAAGGAATTTGACCAACAAGTGCTCCCTATCCCAGAGTGTTCCAACGATGGTCACCCTGTCACAATCAATTCTATTCAATCAACGGGTGATTGGTGGTTTAGGGTGGAATGATGTAAAGGGGTAGCTTGTTACATGAACTTGACATCAAACGGTGTCAATAGAGATTTTGTCTAGCATGACAATATCCTGCCAATATCATCCGAGGCGGGTAATATTATAGGAATAGTATCCTCTTTTGGATAATATTGATGCGCTGCTCCAAATTGGTTGACAAAAGACAAATCAACCATAGATTGCCACCAATGCTTCTAGACGCGCGCAATGAAGGGTGAGCAGGTCGTCGTCATACGACGACGTAGTTTATCATAGTTAGATAAAGATTAAAGTAATGTTGATAGCTTAACGATGTTAAATACATCTATCTTTTTACCTTAACTTGACCGAGTCGTTCAAGTAGATAAGCTTCCTCTGCACGTGCTAGTGTACGTGAAGTTTCGTGGCACTTCAAGCAAATAATGCCCCTTTACAGACATCGTGCTAAACGGGTGTAACCTGTGTACGTGAAGATTCGTGGCACTTCCAACAAAAGGTGACCCGTTACAGACTTCGTGCTACAGTTTTAACGGGGCACCCTTTGTCCGGGTGTCACGAAACTTTACGTACACTGTTGCGTGCAGAGAAAGCTAATTTACCCAGCATATATGTTAAGTATAGGGTAAAAAGATAGATGTATTTAACATCGTTAAGCTATCAACATTACTTTAATCTTTATCTAACTATGATAAACTACGTCGTCGTATGACGACGACCTGCTCACCCTTCATTGCGCGCGTCTAGAAGCATTGGTGGCAATCTATGGTTGATTTGTCTTTTGTCAACCAATTTGGAGCAGCGCATCAATATTATCCAAAAGAGGATACTATTCCTATCAATATTACCCGCCTCGGATGATATTGGCAGGATATTGTCATGCTAGACAAAATCTCTATTGACACCGTTTGATGTCAAGTTCATGTAACAAGCTACCCCTTTACATCACCCCACCCTAAACCATCAATCACCCGTTGATTGAATAGAATTGATTGTGACAGGGTGACCATCGTTGGAACACTCTGGGATAGGGAGCACTTGTTGGTCAAATTCCTTTCATTTGCCAATCCAACGCATGGTTTCAAAACCCAAGCGAGTTGCTACTGCAGCGGCAAGAAAGGCGGCTGCACGCATGCGTATAGCCGGAGAGAGTACTTCCCACACCTTAGCAGCAGGTGATTCGTCGCCTGCTGCTGTGAACAGTCCACGTGGTGAGTCACCACGTGTGACAGGCACATCCGCTGCGTCTGCAGCGGGTACCACGAATCGTAATCCGGATAAGTCTGAAATAAATCTCATCTATTCTGGCCGGTCGTATGATGTATCCGACTCGAAGGCGACATCTCACGCCTCCGGATCACCCGGGGCGGACACTGCAATATCCAGGTTGACTGGCTCTGGTCAACGTGGCGGTATCATGTCCGAGATCTTCGGATCGAGCGATTATTACGACGAATCTCCGCCTCAAGCAATTCCATCCAACGATAGTACGCGTGGTGATGGTGGTGATGCACCTCTATATCACCACGAGCGAAGTAACTCGAGGGACCGGGGTATCACTGGTGTCAGTGCTCATGCTGACACCAATTGAGAGGCCAGGGACCGTAATGCCCTGCGCCACGCTCCCCAAGTGGAGTAACCTTGGATGCATCATCCAAGGAGTTGGACCGGTTGGCCGGCATATTTATTGAACAAGACCGAATTCTGTTGTTCGATTGCAGGAAGATTTTCCCGCCTGATTCCAGCACGGAAACTATCCGTGCTGAGGAAGAATTCTTCACCGATGCGTTTTTCAAACATCGGTGGTACAATGGTAGCCGTGTTCGGGACGGTAAGGCCTTGGTGCAAGGATGGAATGTCCTCATCCATAATATCGAGTGCATTGGTCGTGAGGCCTAGATCGCCAAACTTGATGCCGCTCACATCAGGTTTGAGAAACGCAACCCAGTCGGGGCGCGATACAAAATGCACCGGCTTTCAAGAGAGGCAGGATTAACCTGTCTCTCGTGGGGTGATTCGTTTCCAGGTTGCCTGGAAACTCGAACCATGCCCCTAGTAGGCCTAACTCCCTAATGATCTCTACTGGAGGGCGCGCATCTCTTCCTAGATGGCCGAAGGGATCGACACTTTGTAATCCCTGTACTCGCGTTCGGGGAGGTCGTTTTCTGACGGCCCTTCTTCAAACGCAGCGGGTGGGTCTCGTCGTACTGCTCGACGAGACCAAGAACATCAACAATCAGCTGGGCACGAGGCTCCCAGCTGTCCCACGCCGGTGGATAACCACGCCAGCAAACGAGATAACTCGTCCGGACGCCATTCACATAGGGTGGTTCAAAATACGCTCCATTAGGAAGCGTTGACCACCGCTTGAGTCCACCAAAGGATGTGGTGGTAACGGGAACACCTGATCCGGATCGAGGGTCGGATAAGCTTGATGTTCAGGAGCTGAACTGTGTAACGGAACAGTTGCAAGATGACCTGGCTCATGAACGGACTCAACGTTATGAGATCCATGATCTTGTAAGGGATACTACAATTCCTTAACGCACGATCGATCGTGCCGCGTTTGCGTTCGCGTAACTTGAGAACGAACGTTCAACTCGTTCTCTTCGTGACAAGCTGGCCGCAGCTCGTCGAGACATCGCTCAGCTACGTGAACAGTTCGCTTCGCTAGTCGAACAGACTGGATCGTTAAAACGGGACCACCCGAAGGTGGTCTCGGCTCTCGAACGCGGAGGTGTTCTTCGCATCTCGAAACGGGCTCGTACTGATAGTACGGGCGGAGACGACCGACGTAAAACATAGGATGCGCACGCATCTTACGGGGAAGTTCATTCGTGTATGCGTTGTCCATTCGGCGCAAAACACGAAATGGACCGATGTACTTGGGCAGTACTTTACTGCTGCCCACGTTTGTCACTGCGTGTTTTGGTGGGTTTACTGCATACAGTAAAATTAGGTCTCCTTCATCAAACGAAAGAACATTTGCTCTTCCATGTTTGTCTGCGTTTCTTTTCTGCCTGTCTAGTGCATCTACAATAGAGTATTGAACGAAGAGGACAACCGCTTCGCGAGTCAGCAGAAATGCCTCTGCTGACTCATCCTTGTCAACAGCAGTGCGCTTTGTGTGCACTGCTGAAAGCACGTTGTCTTCACCAGTGAGGGTGTCATCGTCCTCACTGTGGCAGTCTTTGGCGATGCTGAATACACCAGCATCGTCTTCATCATCATCATCGATGTCGATGTGATCGACGTCTGCATCCATCACGTCGACACTATTGTCGACGGGTGATGGGCAAGAACCAGATCGGTTTTTGTTCGAGCGAGTCCGCCCCCCCTGAAACTAGAGTCACATTATAAGAAGGTGAATAAACGTGGATGGCGTAGGCCATTCACGAAGAACGGTGTGTGCATTATCGACGTGTGCACCGAGTTGTTGATGGAATATTCCGCCATCGGCAAGAACTCACTCCAACTCGTAAACGAGTGGACGCACCCTCGAAGCATCTCTTCGAGGGCGCGGTTGACGCGTTCCGTCTGACCATCTGTTTCGGGGTGTTCAGAAGTTGACATCGTCAAACGTGTTCCAAGTGAACGGAACACGGATTGCCAGATCTCCACTGTGAAGCGGGGGTATCTATCAGACACGAGTTCACAGGGTAACCCGTGAAGTCGGAGGATATCATTGATGAAGACACGAGCACAGCCCTGGGATGTGATCGACTCCGGTACAGCAACAAGATGTACCATCTTGCTGAACAGATCAACAAACAAAAGAATACCAGTATTCTTGTGAACGTCTTTGGGAAACCCGAAGACAAAGTCCATCGATACGGACTGCCAACACTCTGCCGGAATCGGAAGAGGCTGCAAGGGTGCGTGGGATGAAGGACTAGGCTTCACCCGTTGACAAACTTCGCAAGCGCGACTGTATTTGCGCACAAAGTCAAATTAGCGTGGCCAGTAGAAGTCACGACTCACCGTGAGGTAATTCTTTTCTCTACCGCGGTGCCCGCTTGTTGGGGCATCGTGACACTCATACAATATGCGCAATCTCAAACATTATCAGCGGGAACGACGACACGAGGTGTGTCGCAGTTGACTGCTGTATAGTACAGCAGTCCATCACGAACAGAATACCGTTCGGCTGAAGAGCGGTATTGGGACGGCAAGCTTTTCAAAGCTTGACTGCATGGATTGGAAACGTAAATTATCAACCGCGGAAGAGACTCACCTTCTGCGTATGCTTTTCGCACGTCGTCGAGAAGATTCGACGACGGAACAATCGCTGTTAGTTTTGCTACAGTGTGATCACCCCAACTGTTGTGTTGAGCAGTCGGCTCGAAATCGGGCCGAAGCGAAAGAGCATCAGTGACAGCATTAAGTCGTCCTGGTTTATACTCGACGGAGAAGTTGTACTCCGCGAAGAAAGACAGCCGTCTCGCCACTCGTTGCGGGAGTTGTGGACTGTTTACGGCCGTGCGTAACGACGCATGGTCGGTATAAACGATGAAGGGCCTATCTCCTAATAGATATACCCGAAACTTAGCCAGTGCATATTTCATGGCAAGGAGTTCCTTTTCATGCACCGGGTAATTTCGCTCAGCTGCTTGCAGCTGACGCGATTGATAACAGATGACGCGCTCAACGCCATCTGATTCGTACTACATTAACGCGCAGCCGATTGCAAAATCGCTGGCGTCACAGACCACATGGAATGGTCTGTCCTGGTCTGCAATCGCCAACACAGGCGATTGTATCAAGCTTTTCTTGATACCTTCAAAAGAGTGCTGACGCTCAGCGCTCCATGACCACCTCTCGTTTTACTTTAGTAGACGAGAGAGATGTACGGTCATCTCGGCGTAGTTGCGCGAGTAATTGTGCAAGTACGCCGCCAAGACAAGGAACATTCGAATTCCCTTGACGTCAACTGGCACAGGCCAGTCGCTAATCGCCTCGATCGTTTCCGGATCAGGGCGTACACCGTTTTTACCCACGATGCAGCCAAGAAGTGGTGTTTCGTTCGCTGCGAATATGCACTTCTAGAGGTTCGCGAACAACTTATGCTCTCGCATTAGCGTAAGAACATTCCGGACACGGATTCTATGAACCTCCACGTCCTTCTTTTAATCCATTGCCCGGCTATGGATGAAGATATCGTCAGAGTAATTCGGTGCGAAGTCTCGAACCAATCGCAACAGATACATTACACTTATGTTAAACGTTGCGGGGGCGTTACTTAGCCCCTGTGGAATCAATAGCTACTCCCAGAGCATACCACTGGGGGTGCTTACTGCCGTGTAAGGGATATCCCGTTCACACATGAGGATCTGATAGAATCCATCCGTCAGATACATGGACGAAAAGATGGTACTCTTTGCCATACCATCTATGAGTACGTCCTTCCTTGGTATCGGCGTTATTGAGCCGGTACCGTTGCAGCGTTCAGTTTGCTCAAAAGGCGTGCACTATCCGCCACCTTCCTGTGGAATTTCGCACACAGAAGGTCGGAGAGCTGTGTGGGGATGTTGATTCCCTCACATGACCAGCCGCTAATCGATCGGCAAAGAAATTGTCGATCGCTGTTACCTGTTCGTGAGGCAGTGGCCATTGCTTCATGGCACAGTATTTTGAACCAGGTTTCAGCTTGATCTCATGCCGGGTGCCTTTGTCTTTGGACAGCTCGCATGGCACGGATTCCGGGAAAACATCCCTGAATTCCACCAAATCCTTATACAAAGGATTTGTCTTTAGAGACTCCCAAGATTGAGACGTGTATCGCTCAATCCGGGTCTTCTCATCGAGGACACTCTTGTCCATCGATGAGCTACTGAAAACCCGTTCGTTCTCAGCAAACACTTGTGCCGACCGAATATCGGCGACGTACTCGTCCTCTGTGACGAGTACGCAGATCTGCTTGATCTTGTCACTACGCAGATCTCGCAAGAATCTTTTAGATTCTAGCGTTGGCAACTTGACTACCTCCGAAGCTGACTTCGGGGGCATCACGAAATCAAGTGTATAAGCGCCTACACTTGATCCGTCATTCACCAAGACATTCACTGTCTCGGTGATTTCCTGGGAAAACACATCCGCAGGTGGTTGGAGATCCACACTCTCAACATAACTCTCTCGGGAGTTATCACTCTCAGGAACGCTGGAACTTTCTTCCATTACGTGTACTGACTATGGGTGTACTACCACGGTCACGTCCTCTTCGATCGACTCTCTTTCGGTCAATCGGGCTTGCTCTACGATCGACTTTCTGATAGTCGATCTCGATTCAACGTGTTGTTCATCCTGAACAACTCTGATCTCTCTTCTCGGATGCACCCTTCTTGGTGTGCATCCGTGTTCCAGCCCACTCGATCTCTTCGAGTGGTGAACCTTCGGCGCAGCCTGTGTATGTACACAGTTGCCGGGAGCTGGTTCCACAGTGTAGTGGTCTTCTACACTGTGATCTTGTGCAATCGTACTCACGACCTTACCACAAGTGAGGTTATCGCACTCACTCGTAGTACACCCAAACGCTTGTGGACGCTCCAAGACGTTCATCAGATGGCCATCTATTGAACAAACAACAGGCATCTTGCCGTTCGCTTGTGACTCAGAGGGCGAGTGTTCTCGCTCTCGATACAACAGAGGTCCATTGGATAGGGACCTCCTGTTTTCTGTCGTCGCGTCGGACAATAGTTTGACGAGTTAGCCTGAGACCGTCTCAGGCTGAAGTCTTCTTGTTCCGCATACGCTATCGCCGTTCCAGCGTATGGAAGTCCTCTTGCAACATGTAGGTCTTCACCGGCCCATCCACAAGGCCGTAGATGAACACGTTGATGAGCGTGTGCTCATCAACAGGATTTTTCGTGACGCTACTCGCAAGGTAGCGTAGGTGTTGTGCGTAAGCGTGCAAGTCACGCTTACCTTGCTTGAGCCTCAAGAGTGCAGAGCGTGCTCTGAACTCGGATCTCGGCGGCTCAACCGTCTCTTTAAGTAGAGACTTCAAGATCTCTAACGACTCAAACACGTTTTGGTCGTGAAGGTTGAGCCCTGAGGCCCAAGGCTTTGCTCGTTTCGTCAAAATATACAGGATGAAGGTGACTTGCATCTCGTCAACCTCGATGTGACAGACCCTGATGGCATCGTCTAACTCGACGAATCATCTCAAAAGGGAATCTTCATCAATTAGCTTGTACCTTGAGGTATCAATCTTCAAGGTTTCGGGTCGACGCATGTGCATCAGCCAGCCCATCGACTGATGAAAGCCTTGCTGTTGTAGCAAGTCTATCTTCTGTCGTTCGACGGCAAGTTCCCCTTGTAGGAACTTGTTGATAGCAGCCTGTTGCTGGCATCTTCTTAGAGACTCCAACATACCATTAATGGCGGGTTCGCCCATGAGCACACTTATGCGGCCGACTATCTCCCATTCTGAGTCACTCAGGTGGGAGTAACCTTCACGTGTGACGTGAACGATGTCGTCTTCTACGTTCAACATGTTCTTGTCGGACGGACACTAAGTAGTCGTTGGACGGACTACGAAGTGCTACCAGGTGTAACGGGGCACCCTTTGTCGGGGTGCCGCGAAACTTCACGTACACTAGTACGTGTAGAGGAAGCGTATCTACTTGAACGACTCGGTCAAGTAAAGGTAAAAAGAGAACTGTATTTAATATCGTTAAGCTATCAATATAACTCTGATCTTTATCTAACGATATTAAACTACGTCGTCGTATGACGACAACCTGCTCACCACTCATTGCGCGCGTCTAGCAGCGATTGGTGGCAATCTATGGTTGATATGTCTTTTATCAACCAATCCTTGAGCAGCGCATGAACATTTTCTAAAGGGGATAATTAACCTTCAATTTTCTCCACTGGGATGATATTGGTACGATATTGTCATGCTAGATAATATCTCCATTGACACCGTTTGGTGTCAATATCATGTAACGGGCTACCCCGTTACATTAGCCGTTTAAATAAGCGCTCATTTATGTGAAGGGTACTTGCACGTTGATTGCTTTGTGTCATGGTTTACGTACGTTTAACCACTTTGGATGGATCGTGGTTTAGAGTAAGATGTAGCAAAAGAGAACCACAACGACGATGCTGTAGCACGGCGCAAGATTGGGCACTTGCTAATCGACCATCGTTTTTGTTTTGGATTGTGTGATGAAATGTCGACAATTGAGTGAAAGAACGTATTACACGATATCTAACGCTATTATGCCGAAAGTCAATCAAGAAAATCGAAGTGCAAACTATCTGAAGTTGTGTCGTGTACAAGGTCGGAATTTCAGAAAAGAAACGTAAAACGCGCTGATTTCACCCATAATCACTTTAATATTATAGAATATGGAATTTAGGCTCGGTTCAGATTTTCCTTAAGTACGGTTCGTACTAACCCATCAAGCAAGGGCTTTCCAAAATTTCACGGTTCAGTCAAGCCAGTCTTCCTTCCCGTTCAGGGGCGGACACGTCGAAGGAATCCGCACCTTTGGGGAGCCGAAGCAATCTAGGACATGTCTTGAGCAAGCTGCACTCGCAGTATCGTTTGTGGGGGCAGTGGACCGACGGGTCGCGCAAGCGGCCAGGAAGGGGAAGGTTGCGGAACAGAGGCTTACCCAGCGCCACGTGGTGTAACGGGGCACCCTGAAGCTTGTACTGGTGACAGTACAAGCTACTTATTCTGATAACAGAATAAGGCGGTGCCTCGTAACTTCACGTACACTCGTACGTGCAGAGGAAGACGGTAAGAAGAAGCGAGTACTCGGTTAGAGTAAAAAGTAGAACTGTATTTATAATAGTTAATGTCTGCAATAAATCACTATTTATCTTCATCTAACTATGTCTAAATACAAATGTGTAAATCAGTTATCTGCTCACCACTCATTGCGTGCGTCTGTCGTGGCGCGTCTTCGTTGGTTGATATAATGGCCTATATCAACCAATTAGGAACTACTTGGAAGTGCTACAGAATATTGTCCTTATGACAATATTCTGAGAATATAACTCTTATAGTTATATTCTATTAACAATTTCTTATAAATTGTTATGTAACGATTCACCCCGTTACATCACCCCCCTTAACCATCAGTCACTTTAGTGACTGATTGACTAAATGGATACTCGTCCCAAATCATTTGGGACGGGGTTTGCACTTGTTGGTCCGCGTCCACTTTCCAACATCTCATCGCATGGTAAACAAGCCCATGCGATGCGCGAGCAAGGCCGCCGAGAGCGCGTCTGCACGTCTCTGTGCGGACGCCGAAGCAGAAACTACAGCAACTGATGTCCCATCGGTTGCTGAATCGACTCAGCCTGTATCACCTGGTGATGCAGGCGCTGGTCATGAAGACACTCGTGTCTTCACAGAGTACGAGCTCGGTGTCTCGTACTCTCCTGATACGGATGACGGATCCGTATCGACGGCAATTGAATCCAAGCCGCCTGCCAAGCGTGGCATGGACGATGCTTTGCGTCGCAGCATCTTTGGTTCATCTGATGAGTCAGATGAACCATCGCCGAAGCGAAGGCGCTCGAGGTCGCGAGACTCGGGCGCTAATAGTGGTGTCGTTTCTCCAATGGACACCACTTCACAGCGAGGTGCCAGTACTTCTGTCGGCACGTCGCAGGAAGAGCGGGACCGCAATGTGTTGCGTCTCGCTCCAGAAAAGAAGGCATGGATGCCTCCTAAATCTGTCATGGATCACTTGTCGGCGACGACGAGTGATCGTTATCGAACACGATTGTTCGATTCGTCAGGGATTCATCACCTTGACCCCAGCGCGAAAGACTATCGCGCTGAACATGAGTTCTTCATCGATGCTTTCTTCAGACATCGATGGTACAGTGGGAATCACAAACGTGATGGTCCCTCACTACTTCAGGCGTGGAACGCCTACATCCATAATCTCGAGGATGTAGGTCGTGACGCTTGGAACGACAAACTTATCAAAGCTCGTGATAAGTTTGAAAAGCGAACCCCGACAGGTGCACGCTATAAGCTGCATCGTCTGTCAAGGGAGAAAGGATTACCCTGTCCTCTCTTGGGGAGACTCGTGCCCATGTTGTGTGAACAACTCTGCACGAGCACCTAAGGAGGCTTACCTCCTTACCAGCCCGTGGTGGCGCGTACGTGTCTCTACTGAGATGTACGAAGGGATTGACAACCTGAAATCCCTTTACGACCGTTCCAAGAAGACTTTCTTCGGCGGTCCTTCTGCGGCACAGGATGTGTCGCGTCGTACTGCTCGACCAGACCCAGTACGTCAACCATCAATTGGGAGCGGGGCTCCCAAGAATCCCAGGACGGGGGATAGCCGCGCCACCGGACGAGGTAACTCGTCCGACGTCCGTTCACGTCGCGGTGGTTCAACAGCTGCTCTACTAGATAGCGCTGGCCACCGCGAGAGTCCTCTAATGGAGGTGGAGGAGGAGGAAAGACGCTCTCCACACGATCATGTGGATCGGTGTGTTCCCGAGAGCATCTTTGATCGCGTAACGCAAGGGTTACGCGACGATCTCGAGCATGAGCGGAATAGGCGTCTCCAGATGTTGGACACTGCCTCGAAGCATCGAGCTGAGTTTGCCTTTGCTCAGCTTGAGAACGAGAGATCTCTGACATCTCTTCGTGACGAGCTAAGGGTAGCTCGTGGGATTGTTGATCGGTCTCGGGCTGAGATAACTGCTCTTCAGACCCTTGTTGATGCCCACCATCGGGAGCACAAGGCTCTCTGCGAGATGCTTGAGCGCAAGGGCGTTCTTCATCGGAAGAAGCAGCGTACTGATGGTACGGCTTAAGCCGACCAACGTAAAACGTGGGATGCGTTCGCATCTTACGTGGTAACTCAATCGTGTATGCATTGCCTAGGCGGTGCAATACACGAAATGGGCCAATGTACTTGGGTAGTAGTTTACTGCTACCCAAGTTAGTCACTACATGTTTTGGTAGATTAACCGTAGACAGTAGGACTAAGTCACCTTTATTAAATAAAAGAGTGTTTGCCCTTCCATTCTTGTCAGCGTTTTGCTTTTGCTTATCCACCGCTTCGGCGATTGAGTCTTGCACAAAACGGACTACCGTTTCACGAGCCAGTATGAACTCATCTGATGACTCGTTAGCTTCAGTGTGCTGTGAGCGCACTGCAGCAACAACAACCTTTTCTTCAGTGAGGGCTTCCGCACTCTCACTGGCATCATTGTCTTCAGTGAGGGCTTCCGCACTCTCACTGGCATCATCTTCTTCGATATCGATGTTATCGATATCGGCATCAAACGCAATGACTTCTTCGTCAGAGCGTGATGAGCGTGAACCAATTCGGTTTTTGCTCGCGCGAGTCCCTCCCCCCCTTAAACCAGAGTTACACTCTAGTAAGGTGGGTACACGCGGATGGCGCAAGCCATTCACGTAAAACGGTGTATGTCTCGTGGACGCATGCACCGATTTGTTGATGGCAAACTCTACCATCGGCAAAAACTCACTCCAACTCTTAAAGGAGTGTACGTATCCTCGAAGTATCTCTTCAAGGACACGATTGGCACGTTCCGTCTGACCATCTGACTCTGGATGATCAGATGTTGACATCTTCAAGCGCGTTCCGAGTGATTTGAACACGGAACGCCAGAAATCAGCAGTGAATCGTGGATCTCTGTCTGATACGAGTTCACGGGGCAACCCATGAAGTCGGAAGATGGTGTCAATAAAGACACAAGCACAGCCACTTGCCGTGATTGTCTCTGGTACAGCCACAAGGTGTACCATTTTGCTGAATCTGTCAACAAATACGAGAATACCCGTATTCCCGCGTGCGTCTTTGGGTAACCCGAAGACGAAATCCATTGAGATGGATTCCCAGCACTCAGCCGGAACCGGTAGAGGCTGTAAAGGTGCACGCAGTGAAGGACTTGACTTCACTCGTTGGCAGACTTCGCATGCGCGAACATACTTTCGCACAAACTGATACTGGCGGGGCCAGTAAAAGTCTCGACTTACCGTGAGATATGTTTTCTCTCGGCCACGATGTCCTCCTATAGGAGCATCGTGATACTCGAACATGATCCGCAAACGCAGATCAGTATCATCTGGAATGACAACACGTGGTGTGTCACCAGAAACGGCTGTATAGTACAGTAAACCGTTACGAGTAGTGTATCGATCTGATGCAGATCGATACGCAGACGACAATCGTTTCAACGATTCTCGAGATGGTTGGGAGAGATGTGACAACAACTTCACTATCTCACCATCTTGGGCGTATGCCCGCCTCACATCATCATACAACGTTGTAGATGGAACTGAGGACGTCATAACCGCAACAGTGACTGTCTCACTGTTGGGTTTCGCGACTGTTTCAAAGTCGGGACGACGTGAGAGTGCATCAGCGACGACATTAAGTCGTCCTGGTTTGTACTCGACCGTAAAGTTGTATTCTGCAAAGAATGACAACCACCGCGCCATTCGTTGTGAAAGGTGCGGGCTGTTCACTGCCGTGCGTAAGGACGCATGGTCAGTGTAAACAACGAAGGGTCTATCTCCTAATAGATAGACTCTGAACTTCGCTAGTGCATACTTCATGGCAAGGAGTTCCTTGTCATGCACTGGATAGTTCCGCTCAGCTGGTTGCAGCTGACGCGACTGATAGCAGACGACGCGTTCAACGCCTTCAAGGTCGTACTGCATTAATGCACAGCCGATTGCGAAATCGCTGGCATCACAGACCACATGAAATGGCCTGTCCTGATCGGCTATTGCTAGGACTGGGGATTGTATCAAGCTCTGCTTGATACCCTCAAAGGAGCGTTGACATTCAGCGTTCCATAACCACCTCTCGTTCTTTTTCAACAAACGAGAGAGGTGTACAGTCATCTCGGCGTAATTGCGTGAATACTTATGCAAATACGCCGCTAGCTAAGGAATTTTCGAAGACCTTTGACATCGACCGGCACAGGCCAGTCGGTGATCGCCTTGATCTTTTCGGGATCAGGACGTACACCGTTCTTACCAACGATGCACCCAAGAAGTGGTATTTCGCTTGCTGCAAATATACACTTCTTGAGGTTTGCATACAATTGATGCTTTCGCATGATTGTAAGAACTTGTCGGACGTGGTACTTGTGAACCTCAACGTCCGACTTTCCATCCATAGCTCGACTATGGATGAATACGTCATCGAAATAACTCGGCGCGAATTCTCGTACTGGCCTCAACAGATGTGATACACACCTGTTGAACGTGGCAGGGGCATTACTGAGCCCTTGTGGCATTACTAGCCATTCCCAGAGCATGCCACTAGGCGTGCTAACTGCGGTATAGGGTATATCCCGTTCGCGCATTAGGATTTGATAGAAGCCATCCATCAAATCCATGGACGAAAAGATGGTACTCTTTGACATACCATCAATGATTACGTCCTTCCTCGGTATCGGCGTCTGAGCCGGTACCGTTGCAGCGTTCAATTTGTTGAACGCGTGCACTATCCGCCACCCTCCTGTTGCTTTTCGCACACAGAAGGTCGGAGAGCTATGTGGGGAAGTTGATTCCCTCACATGGCCCGCTGCTAAACGATCGGCAAAGAACTTGTCGATCGCAAGTACTTGTTCACGAGGCAGTGGCCACTGCTTCATGACACAGTACTTCGAGCCTGGTTTAAGCTCGACTTCGTGTCGAATACCTTTATCCTTCGGTAATTCGCACGGAACAGTTTCAGGGAATACATCCTTGAATTCAACCAAATCTTCATAGAGAGGATTTTCCTTGAGCGATTCCCATGATTGGGACTCATATCGCTCAATTCGTGTCTTTTCATCTAGGACACTCTCGTCCATAGATGAACTACTGAGAACTCTCTCGTTCTCAGTAAACACTGTTGCTGACCTTATGTCGGTTACATACTCGTCGTCAGCGACGAGTATGCAGATCTGCTTGACTTTGCCACTACGCAGATCACGCAAGAACCTTTTATGTTCGAGCGTTGGCAACTGAGTGATCTCCGAAGTTAACTTCGGAGGCGCAATCAGATCAAGTGTTTAAGCGCCTACACTTGATCCGTTATTGACTATGACATTCAATGTCTCTGTCATTTCCTGGGGACTTATTCCCTCAGGCTTCGAAGGACTTATTCCTTCGTCTTCCCGGGGACTTATTCCCGCGGGTTTCGGGGAACTTATTTCCGCCGTATTTGTAATCTTGGGACTTATTCCCTTTACTTCCTCTAGCTGGGGTTGCGCAACCACAGCGAGATCCTCTACGAAAGACTCTCCAGTCGATCTAGGATTATCGTTTCGCTTAACCTGAGCGATCGATTGTTTCTCTTCTAGATGTTCCCTGCTAGGGATACATCTTTGTCCCAGTCCACCCGACTTATTCGAGTGGTGGACCTTCGGCGCAGCCTGTGTTTCCTCACAGCCGCCGGAACTTTGCTCCGAAGTGTAACCGTTTGGTACACTAAGGTTTTGTGCAGTCGTACTAACGACCGTACCACAAGTGAGGCCATCGCACTCACTCGTAGTACATCCACACGCTTGTGGACGCTCCAAAACGTTCATCAGATGGCCATCTGATGAACAAGCGGCAGGCATCGTTACTGTCCGATGTTGCCAGTTTACCCGTGGTTCGTACCTTCTGAGCCACGGTATTCCAAGGATGACATCAAATTTGTCATCCAAATCCAATACGATAAAGTCATCGTCGTATTGGGTATCTTCTAGCGTATAGTGAATCTTCACTATACGCTTCATGACGGTTACGGATGCGCCTGTCGCAAGACGTACCGTCATCCTCGTAGGAGGTGTGTCACATTCACTGAATTTAAAGTGACCATCTTCTAGCGATTGGCGTCGCACAAAATTGTTGGACGCCCCACAATCGACTAGAGCTCGAAGGGACAACTTATTCGTCACTTCGAGTTTCAAGGTAATGAGTGAGATCTCATTACCTAGAGCAGCAACGCACAACGTCTGTGTGTTGGGAGCAACCTTCATCAAGAGGCCTACAAATTCTCTTGACGTTGCTGGATCAGTAGGGTGCTCCGCACCTACTGATCCTGTCCGTTTTTTGACGGTCCATCCCGTTGTTGCGTCTTTGCACCAACAGCGGACCCTCGTCCCTGCCCCTTTCTCATGGGTGGACGGTCACTACGCCCAGTGTCGCGAGACACTGGACGAGGGGCACTACACTCGTAAGCGTAGTGTCCTGTCTTTTGACATCTGTTGCATCTCTGCAACTTCTTGTAGCCTGTAGAGCGAGCCTTCTCGCTCTCTACATAACAGAGTTCCATCGGCTCTGGACCTCCGTTGTCATATCGTCTCGGTTGACGATATGATGTCGAGCTGGCGCGAGCCTGTCTCAGACTGAAGTCTTCCTGCTCCGCAATTGAAATGGCTTGTTCTAGTGAATCTAGTTCAAGCCGGAACAGGTGAGTCTTGACGGGACCATCCGCAAGACCCTGCATGAACACCGAAACCAACGTGTGTTCATCCACCGGATTGGAACTTATACAACTCGTGAGATGTCGTATATGTTGAGCGTAAGCGTGCACATCACGCTTACCCTGCTTGAGCTTCAAGAGTTCGGTTCGAGCTCTGAACTCAGCTCTAGGCGGTTCAAACGTTTGTCTGAGCCGCGACTTGAAGACTTCCAACGACCCAAACGCATATGGGTCGTGCAGCTTGAGCCCCAGTGCCCAAGTCTTGGCACGTCCTGCCAGATTTGACTGGGCAAATGCAACTTGCATATCCCCGTCGTCGATGCGACGCGCCCTTATGGCGTCATCAATTCGACGAACCATCTCAAGAGGGAGTCTTCTTCGACCCCCTATACTTTGAGATGTCAATCTTCAAAGTCTCGGGTCGACGCGAGTGCATCGACCCGCCAGCAGCAGCTTGCTGCTGTCTCAACAGTTCAAACTGTTGAGCACCTTGTTCTCTCAACAACTCTGCTTGTTGAGAACCTTGTTGGTGAAGCAAGGCTACTTTCTCGCGTTCTGCGTCAAGTTCATTTTGAATGAACTTGGCGATAGTAGCATGTTGGGCATCTCTATTGAGAGCCTCTAGCATGACGCTAACAGCATGGATGCCCCTGGTTGAACCCATCCGTTCAACCGCATCCCATTCGACATCGCTCTAATGGGAGTAGCCGTCACGCGTAGCGTGAAAGCTTTGGTCATCTTCATCATCCAACATATTCATGTTGGATGTGAACGCGGTCCTTGGACGGACTACAAAGTGCTGCCAGGTGTAACGGGGCACCCTGAAGCTTGTACTGGTGACAGTACAAGCTACTTATTCTGATGACAGAATAAGGCGGTGCCTCGTAACTTCACGTACACTCGTACGTGCAGAGGAAGACGGTAAGAAGAAGCGAGTACTCGGTTAGAGTAAAAAGTAGAACTGTATTTATAATAGTTAATGTCTGCAATAAATCACTATTTATCTTCATCTAACTATGTCTAAATACAAATGTGTAAATCAGTTATCTGCTCACCACTCATTGCGTGCGTCTGTCGTGGCGCGTCTTCGTTGGTTGATATAATGGCCTATATCAACCAATTAGGAACTACTTGGAAGTGCTACAGAATATTGTCCTTATGACAATATTCTGAGAATATAACTCTTATAGTTATATTCTATTAACAATTTCTTATAAATTGTTATGTAACGATTCACCCCGTTACACGTGGTACCGCTGCGGCGGTCACACAGTCCAAGTCCTGGGGGTCACGCCAGCGGCCAAGAAGGGACCCGCCATCGCAGATGGAGAGTCTCTAGGGAATAAGTTACAATGAGTAGGCGTTCCTCACGCCTCGTGGTCACTTCGGTGGCTACACTCTACGTCGATGGGCCGCGCAAGCCGCAGACGGAGGCCCATTGTCGCGAAATGATCGGCTTCTAAGGGATAAATTACGGCGGGTGGGCACTCCCCCTGCCATCGTCATCGCCTCGGCGATAGCGACATCTAGCACGGACGGTCGCTTTAGCAGCCACAATGGAGTCTGTCGCCGATTTTAGTGGCATTCTCCCGGCGTGTAACGTTAGTTGGGTACTCACGCTATAGGTCGGTTGGCCGCGCTAAGCGGTCACCAATTCAGGTAGGCGCCCTTTTGGACGTCTTGACATCTTCCGCTGCATAGGGCAGCGTTGCACTGGAGAGCGCTTGAAAGATGGGCTTGAATCTGACTTGGGTTGGGTGTCTCTAACGTCTGCTACACTCGCCCCCGGCTCTTTGGAGCTTACACGTTGCTAGTCGAAGGGATGGCGGCGGCGATGATTGGCTTGACGCCGGAAAATGAAAAATTGGAAATTCTCCACATTGAACTTTCCCGGTCGTCGATCCTTCGAAAGCACAATCTTCAATCCAGAGATTTGGGACCCGAGAAGAAGGCCTCATCCACGATGATCCCCGCGAGCAAGCATCCCACCTAAGGCTGCTGGTCGAAGGAGGGGCGGCGGCGATGATTGGCTTGACGCCGGAAAATGAAAATTTGGAAATTCGCCACATTGAACTTTTCCGGTCGTCGATCCTTCGAGAGTACAGCATTCAATCTAGAGATTTGGGACCAGAGAAGAAAGCTCATCCACGATGATTCCCGCGAGCAAGCATCCCACCTAAGACTGCTGGTCGAAGGAGGGGCGGCGGCGATGATTGGCTTGACGCCGGAAAATGAAAATTTGAAATTCTCCACATCGAACTTTCCCGGTCGTCGATCCTTCGAGAGTACAACATTCAATCTTGAGATTGGAGCGAGGGCGTTTGTGCGGATTTTAGTGGAATTGACCTTAGGCTGGAGGTGTGAGCTGGCAAAGGCTAGATGAACGGTCATTATCGTTCTTGCGACCAGCCTACAACACACCGATCGCACCATGCGCTTCTTCAGCATTGTTCTTCTCGCTGTTGGCATTCTCTGCGTGCAGTCAACTCAAACTCCTACTGAACCTCCCGCTCCCAAACCAACGCTTACCCCTCCCTCTGCTCCCTAAGTGTCTCTGTTCAGCAGCCAGACTGAAGTCAATGAACGGGCGCCAGGGATGATGGTGACAATAGCCGGAAGGCTAGCTGCTGGGTGATACCGTGGCTCTTCTCCTGTACTGAACACTTGCGAAGGTGATAAGCAGCTGTCGTCGGACAACAGGATTCGTTGTTCTCTTCTGTTCAAGTTGCTTCTCAAGACGCGTTGTCATGAATTCAAGATGCTGATTAGTTTGTTGGCAGTATCGGTCTTAATCAATAAGAAGATGTTGCAACCTGCCGATTCTGTGATTTACTGCTGGCTCTTCCGTAGTTCTCACACAGAAAAACAAGCAACGCTGCATCTCAAACGGGAGCCTACATTTGGCGAAGTTCATTTCTTGGCAGCGATCGTAAACTACTTACTGCTGCAAGTTGCCTTGCCGCCATACCTTCATAGACTGAACAGCGGTTTTGTTTGGTCGCATCATACTGTCGCCCACAATTGCTATATTCGGAGGCCCAAGGTCGAGTCATGCTCGCTCACGGCGACCGCGTGTCCATCTTGGTCGCGTGCAGAATGTTCGAACTTAATGGTGGCATTGCTTGCTCGGCACTGAAGGTCGACATTGTGCTGTAAGTTGCTGCCGTCTGACAGGGCCGTAAAAAATGGGTGTGTTTACAGCACAACAAGATGAAGTAATAAACGGACTTAGACTGCTTCTTATCAACGAATAGGCAGCGCAACTGACGCAGTCAACTAAAGAATCACGTCGATGGGCTGTAAAAGTCGCTTGTTGATGGACTTTTGTCATGGATCTCTAGCTCTTGATGCTGGTCTGGAACTGTGGGTCCACCTTTCGTAGAGTATCATCGCCGGCATGATGGAGTGCGTCCATTATATGGGAGCCTAACAATTTCACTATTATCTTAAAAAGGAAAGAGAGCGCTCGAAGTCTTTTATATTCGATCGAGATGGTCCTCACATAGTTGTGCACTAGAGAGAGAGGCGGACAGTCTACTGCACGTGATCAAAGTGCACAAGTCTTTTCTGAGTTAACGCGCGTAAACAAGGCGGGTGCCGAACGATACGGTGGATCTGCGAAACTCACCAGTTGTCGTGATGCTATTGACGCTGAGTATTTAGTCACTCATTGGATTGTCTGATGCGACTTCCTTTCACCGTCGTATGTACCCTTTTGCGCTTCCGGTGGATGACTCACGTCATTACATTAGTCCACAAAGTTTGAACTTTCACGCACTTCCTCCGACAACTCTGTCCTCCGCTCATGAACGACTCGATTTCTCTGCACCCATCGTGTCGACACCTTGACTGAGACACCTTTATGTTCTCGATTCCTTATCGGATGATACCCGCCGTCACGTCATCTTTAAAAGCTTGCTGTTATCGCCCGATATTGAAGCATAGCTGGCGATCTTATCGTCAGGCAGTAAACGCACACCTTTCTCTGTATTGCATGGCTCTCATGTCCGCCCCGATCATGACCTATAAACGTCTGCTATTATCTTTCAATGCGATTTTGACCACCGTACTGACGACTGAAATGTTAGATACGACCAAATACAGTACAGCTGGTATCTTAGAGTTCACATAGTCACGCTCGACGTCGATTTCTATCAGCGGACAGTAGTAAAAAAGGACCATTGCATAAGACGCTTGTGTTTGCGTCACAGACTTTCTCATGTCACGGTAGCATAGAAGGTTTTGGTTGCGCGGGATCGAGTTTGGGTCATGCGCTCGTTCGGCTAGTCAGCCTGCATTCATATATGAAGTCCTAGCGACTGGTTTATGCCTAACTTACGAATTGTGAGACAGAGGCAAGTGGTTCTGGTGGCGTCTATCATCTACAATACTTGCTGCTTGAAATCGACACTCGTGCATCAAAAATTGCATATAGTTTGCTTTGCATTTACTTGTGCATCGAACCCATATTGTTCGTCTACTTGCTTCCATGAATGCCCTCGAAATACACGTTACAAAAATGTTTTTACATGACGTACCTTCTGCAAAAACAACAAATTGGCTTTATCTAGGTGTTGTTTCTTCAGAAGTAGGCTCAATGAACATTTGTTTGTTTAACGTTGTTCATAGCGAGCAATGCATCTTAGCACGTATCCTATATTTGGGGGAGTCTGAACTGCTTAGGGTCCACTTTTGAGAGGTGGCACACAGAGGTCCATGATTATTCACATCTACCCGTGCTGTAGAAAGATCAGCTCCATGAAACCCGGGCAGGGAAGTGTTTGTTTTTACATAGGAACCACCGTCTGCAATTCCGTACTCCCGTCTTGGTGGAAACGGATATATATTACATAATCACATGTGCTTAAGATCTCGAGAGACGCGATCATTGTAAAGTCCTCCGGCACCTACACTCCAATGGACCGTTTGTGCACATTCAAATGTGACATACGGTGAGGTGAAGAGCAGCCGAAGCACATCAACAGACTTCAAGATCACTTGAAGTCTTCTCGTCGTGAAAGGTTCAACCGTGAAACGGATGTCGACGAGTCTCCCGATCGGGATAGGGAGGGGCTAGATTGCAGCCAATGAAAAAGTAATAATCAGCGGGCGATGCAGCATCCCCAGAAATCGCATGATTCTGTCCAATTAAGTAATTTGCACGCGACTGCTGGACTCAGATGGCCACTAATTTGGCAGTACCTTGACACCAGATACACGAAACTTGTAAATGCCTGACGATAATGTCTTCGTAAGAGGCCAGTAGAAGTCAAGCTGCATCGGAAAAGGACAATAACGAATCCGGCTAACACAAGTTAATATGGAATGTTATAAAATAAATGTATGTCTACTCATTTGTTCGAATTGATGAGTAAGATTTGACCACTGTAACTTTAGATTACCAATTAATTTGCAAAGAGGTGTGAAGGTGAGCCGCATCGTTATCGCATGGATTATGTAATTAGAACGATACCCATCACACAAAGATGAATGGGTTTGGTGAGCTTGGTGCAGCGCAAAATTTGGTGGGTGCAATCAGTGATTGCCGGTCAATACCCTCTCCCATCCTATTATCGCTCTCGGTATTTTGATCTTCATCGTCGAATGTCCTCATCATTGCCGCTGTTTGTTGCTACCTTTGTCGTCGCGCTCAGTGTATTCATTTTCGGTATCTTTTTAGTAGTCGTTGACGTCCTATTACCACCCGCGGCACCATCTTGTCTCCATTTTGTCATCGCAAAAACCCTTTTAATCACACAAAAATCGTTCGTGTAAGCACATCCACATATTTAACGTTACTGTAACGGGGTAGCCCGTTACATGAAATTGACATCAAACGGTGTCAATAGAGATTTTGTCTAGCATGACAATATCCTACCAATATTATTTAAGATGGATAATATTGAAGGAATAGTATCCCCTTTTTGATAATACTCATGCGCTGCTCAAGGATTGGTTGATAAAAGACATATCAACCATGGATTGCCGTCAACCGCTGCTAGACGCGCGCGATGAGTGGGGGTCACACGACGACGTAGTTTAATATCTTTACATAAAGATTAAAGTAATATTGACAGCTTAACGATACTAAAAAAAGTTCTCTTTTTACCTTTACTTGATCGAGTCGTTCAAGTAGATAAGCTTCCTCTGCACGTACTAGTGTACGTGAAGTTTCGTGGCGACTAGACGAAAGGTGCCCCGTTACACCTGGTAGCACTTCGTAGTCCGTCCAACGACTACTTAGTGTCCTTCCAACAAGAACATGTTGGACGTAGAAGACGACATCGTTCACGTCACACGCGAAGGTTACTCCTATCTGAGTAAATCAGAATGGGAGATAGTCGGTCGCATGAGTGTGCTCATGTGCGAACTCGCCTTCACTGGCATGTTGTGGTCCTAAGCAGAGACCAGCAACATGCTGCTATCAACAAGTTCCTACAAGGGGAACTTGCCGTCGAAAGACAGAAGATAGCTTTGCTACAGCAGCAAGGCTCTCATCAGTCGATGGGCGGGCCGACGCACATGCGTCGACCTGAAACCTTGAAGATTGATATCTCAAGGTACGAGGGAACCGACGAATATTCCCTTTTGAGATGGTTCGTCGAGTAAGACGATGCCATCAGGGCCCGTCACATCGAGGGTGACGAGGTGCAAGTTACCTTCGCCCTGTCCAATTTGACAGGACGAGCAAAGACTTGGGCCTTAGGGCTCAAGCTTCACGACCCAAACGTGTTTGAGTCGTTCGAGATCTTGAATTCTCTACTTAAAGAGACGTTTGAGCCGCCGAGATCCGAGTTCAGAGCACGCTCTGCACTCCTGAGGCTACAGCAAGGTAAGCGTGACTTGCACGCTTACGCACAACACATACGCTACCTTGCTGGTAGTGTCACAAAAAACCCTTTTGATGAGCACAAGCTCATCAATGTGTTCATCTATGGCCTTGTGGATGGGCCAGTGAAGACCGACATGCTCCTAGAGGCCTTCCGTACGCTGGAAAAGGCGATTGCGTATGCGGAACAAGAAAACTTTAGCCTGAGACAGTATCAGGCTAACTCGTCAAACTATCGTCCGACGAGACGACAGGAAACAGGAGGTCCCTATTCAATGGACCTTTGTAACATCGAGAGCAAGAACAATCGCTCACTGAGCCACAAGCGAACGGCAAGATGCCATCGCTATCAGAAGATTGGACACTACGCTCATGAGTGTAGTGTCCCGAGCACTGCGACACGTCCAAAGACAGGACGTGATGACCGCCGTCCGCCAAGGAAATGTCCAAGGCGTGTGTCCGACCATGTCGTTAGCCGCGCCAAAAGGAAGGACCGTAAAAAACGGTCAGGGTCAGTAGGGGTGGAGCACTCTGCCGATCCAGCAACGTCAAGA